CCGGCGTCGGGGCCGCCGTGGCGGTCATGGTAGCTGTCGCCATGGTTGCACTCGATGGGACCCGCGGATACAAAATTTGATGGCCGTACAAACAGAGAATTCGTGGTCCCGCGCCTGGTCGACGTTGGCTGCAGAAAGCTGGTGGAGAGAAAGTGACTTACTTTTTTAATGTCGACGGCGGGGCAAAGTCAACCGGGAGAGCCCCACCTGCGTCTCCAACCGCTGACTCCAACTGCCACGTCGCTGCATGGCTTTTCCCGGAAAAAGACACCTGCCGGAGTCCGGGAGCACCCGAAAGGGCTCCGAGCTCTGTTTCTTGTTCTGGCGATGCTTTTTGTCTCGCAAGCTGCAACTCAACCAACCTCGAGTACCTCAATCCATTGCCTCTGGCCAAGCGTTTGCAGGTGCAGCGTTTTCGAGTCCATTGTCCTCTCTCCTCCAGTCTCATCATGCAGGCCATTCCCAGGGCTGCGGTGCGCTCTGCTGCGCTCCGCAACGTCGCCAACCGCGCCTACAGCAGCTCGTCGTCCCCTTACTCCAAGACCATTGAGAACCTGCGCATCAACAGCGACACAAAGGTCATCTTCCAGGGCTTCACCGGAAAGCAGGGAACGTACGTGCCAATTGGACCAGACATTTCTCCTGCTACATAAATTCCACGCTGACAAGCCATGCGATAGTTTCCACGCCCAGCAGGCCATCGAATACGGTACGAAATAAAAAGCCTCGATACACCACATGGCCAAGAAAAGGAAAAAAAAAGAAAAAAAAAAAAAACAAAAAGAGCCACGCAACTCAACCAACCTCGAGTACCTCAATCCATTGCCTCTGGCCAAGCGTTTGCAGGTGCAGCGTTTTCGAGTCCATTGTCCTCTCTCCTCCAGTCTCATCATGCAGGCCATTCCCAGGGCTGCGGTGCGCTCTGCTGCGCTCCGCAACGTCGCCAACCGCGCCTACAGCAGCTCGTCGTCCCCTTACTCCAAGACCATTGAGAACCTGCGCATCAACAGCGACACAAAGGTCATCTTCCAGGGCTTCACCGGAAAGCAGGGAACGTACGTGCCAATTGGACCAGACATTTCTCCTGCTACATAAATTCCACGCTGACAAGCCATGCGATAGTTTCCACGCCCAGCAGGCCATCGAATACGGTACGAAATAAAAAGCCTCGATACACCACATGGCCAAGAAAAGGAAAAAAAAAGAAAAAAAAAAAAAACTCAAAGAGCCACTCGCTGACGTTGATATTGCCCAGGCACCAAGGTCGTCGGTGGTACCAACCCCAAGAAGGCCGGCAGCACTCACCTTGACCTCCCTGTCTTCAAGAATGTTAGCGAGGCCGTAAAGGAGACTGGCGCAACCGCCACTGCTCTTTTCGTTCCGTACGTACATGCACCGCTGCCTTTTTACAGGCTCAATGCTCTCGTTCCAAATTCGTCGCTGCTAATACACATCGCCTAGCCCACCCGTGGCTGCTGCTGGTATCGAGGAGGCTCTCCAGGCCGAGATTCCCCTTGTTGTCTGCATCACTGAGGGTATTCCTCAACACGGTATGTTAGCCAAGACCCACAGTGCCATCCAGATACTTGAGCCCCTACATACTGACCGTGATTTGTGTGACAGACATGGTTCGCATCACCTCCATGCTCAAGTCCCAGTCCAAGACTCGTCTCGTCGGCCCCAATTGCCCCGGTATCATCGCACCCGGCCAGTGCAAGATTGGCATCATGCCCGGCTTCATCCACAAGCGCGGCCGCATCGGCATCGTCTCTCGATCCGGTACCCTGACCTACGAGGCCGTCAACCAGACTACTCAGGCCGGACTTGGCCAGTCTCTCGTCGTTGGTATCGGTGGCGATCCCTTCAGCGGAACCAACTTCATCGACTGCCTAAAGGTCTTTACTGAGGACGAGGACACCGACGGCATCATCATGATTGGTGAGATTGGTGGCTCTGCCGAAGAGGAAGCCGCCGAGTTCCTGAAGCAGGCAAACACTGTTGGTGGCGGCAAGCCCGTCGTCAGCTTCATCGCCGGTATCTCTGCCCCCCCTGGCCGTCGCATGGGCCACGCCGGTGCCATTGTCGCTGGTGGCAAGGGCGGTGCTGACTCCAAGATCAAGGCCCTCGAGGCCGCCGGCGTGATTGTCGAGCGTTCACCTGCTGGTCTTGGCAAGGCTCTGTACGACGAGTTTGTCCGACGAGACCTGTTGTAAGGCTGTAAGATTTTTGTACAATGACTCTTCGGGGGCGTGAAGCTGGGTGAGGACTGTTCTATGAGGCGTAGACGCCAGTTGGTGTTCAAGGAGGTCTACTTGCAATTTTTCCTATTATCGTACGTATCAGATAGAATATGAATGGTTGGCGGTTAATAGCGAACAAAAACAGGACAATAAAGAAATCGCCGGTCTCCGACTGCACCAACTATAATTTGCTCTTTGCGGATGCATAAAACACTTATCCACGAAGCACCTCGCTCACCTTGGACCATGTTGGTAACTAAATCACCCATGTATTCATGCAATATCTGACCTGGGTGTCAGTGATCTGACGACAGACTCAGCATCGGAGTGTTCCGCGAGCGGATGCAAGACTCAAAGTGTCTTTCATCGCATGTTTCTACAACCGCTTCGCTCTGTTACATAAAGAAACTCTTTTGACCCCAAAGTACGCGCCCCTCCTCCAAAACGACGAGAAAAACAAAAAGAAAACCCTGCTTTAACAATGGGCAATTAATTCAAGATACATAAAACTCCCCTTCCTATGCAGTAGTTCGCTTCCAATGTTCCTTAATGCTATAAGTGTGTGGTTTATCCTGAGGATGATCTAGGCCCAGCTAACCGCGTTCGGTTTCGATGCGCGCTCCGGAAGTCACTGCTCACCAAGGAGCCGTGCGGTGATGTCGCCCATATACGCCTCCTCCAGTTCATAGTCCTGTCCATTGTTGCGGTCGATACCTACAAAAAGGAAGGCATCTACAACAGCATCGACGTCGAAGCCCATGTTTACGAAGCGATCAACTAGGTCCTTGCTGTATCCTTTGTATCTATAATTGGTAGGTATTTCGAGTTAGTCCTTGTTACTTTATTGTTGTCCAAGACCGCAGAAGCAGGTTTTTCTTTTCTTTTCTTTTTTTTTAAAAAAATAAAAGAAGACGACGTTTCCTCACCTGCTCGCATCGTCACTTTTTGGTGCGTCGTTATTCTTATACTGGCTCAGATTGAGCTCTTGTCTCGGTGCGCCGGCATGCTTGATGGCCCATTCTTGGGCGACACGGGCAAACTGCTCGGGCTGTTGCATCAGCATGCATGCGACTTCGGCGTCTTGCGGATCTTTTGGGTTAGGAACTTCGAGGAGCATGCGAATAGATAGCAGTGCGGTTTTGATGGTCTGGACTGGCGACCAGCCTGACCCAAGGGTGTCTAGGCAGATGGCTCCCTAGTGTCCGGTTAGTCGGACTCTCGACCGGCCACGCAGAACGTCATAAGGGTGCTTGGGACGCAATGGCGGGCCTCGGGTGGTGGTGACGACGTACCGTCTGGCTGCTGACATTCGGATGCCAGATTTTGGTGCTGAAGCTCATGGAGGGCGACTTAAACGGGTAGTTATCTGGTATTCGTATATCGATTATGAAAGTGCCTCCATAGTACGGAGTATCGGGAGGGCCAGGGATGGTGCCTTTCAAGTGCTTCAGGTTGACGTCGTCAATAGGCGCAGCGTAGACTCCAGAGTTGTCCCTGTCCGCCTGAATGTCTTGAAGTTCTTTGGCCACACGCCGATCTCTGCTGCTCGTCATTGCAGTGATGATTATTAACTGTTGGTGAGTGAAATAAGCTGCAAAGTTTTGGTAGCGGGTTGGTCACAAGGGCACGTCGGTATTATATGCTCGAGATGTATGAGGAGGCCAGGGGCACGGCGTGCAAAGTAAAGACACAAAGAGAAGAGGATGGAGCGTCGCCGTGTGGAAGGTGGGATTAGGACATCGATCAAAGATGCTCTAGTGCCCAGGCGGACAAGCAGATGACAGGGCTGGGTTATGCCACTCGACCTTTAAAGAAAACAGTACCTGGGACTCGGTGTTATTATTGACACACCCGCAGGCGCCGCGGTACTAGGTACTTGGCTTTGGCTTGTAGTCAACTCAACTGTGGCTGGAAGGGAGGGGCAGAACAAACAAACATGGTGGTGGCCACTGGCCACTGGACCCCGGGAGCGACCTGCAGCGCCATGAGGTCAGTATTCTAATACTGAGTAATGCGGGTGAGGCTGGCCCCGTTTGCCCTGTCAAAGTTTGCCCTCAAGGTGACACGCCGGTGTTTGCCAGTTTCACTTTCCGGCTTCAAGGTCTGACAGTGCCACGCCTTTTGTCAACTTTGGCTTCATCTGCAAAAGTGTAATTTCTTCCAAAATTCAAGGGCAGCTCTTCGTGTCTGTTTAGAGAGGCATAATTAATTATAGTGTTGTGGTGTTGTCGGCAAAAGAGGTGCTGATAGGGCCTAGGCGTGATTGCGGGCTTAGCGGGAAAGTCGCGGCCTCTCATAGCCGGCTTTTGGGTCTTTACAAATAAGATATTTGCCAAATAGCAAATGATAGACAGCCTGCATACCGGAAGTATTGCCGGTGTCCTTGGAGGAGGCGAGGAAGTGTCTGTAAATGCGGCCCTCAGAGAAGCTCTTATCAAGTTGCCGCAATATGAGGGTCGTCTTCGATCCTAGAAGCCGCGTCCCCCCGAGCTTTGGCTGAGAAATATCGTGGGAACACAGTCCTCATCAGCCCTCAGTCACTCCAAAACATAGGGCTGCTCGCATCACAGCCCAACTCGTTGGGTCCATTCTGGGATCCCAATCTGCAGAGGTCGTACGTCTAGTACACGCACGCGTAACTCTAGTATTTCATATCAGACTGTTGCACCATACTAGTACGTCTTCCTGATTAAAACAAAAAATTGAAATCAAACAGCAAATAGCAAACGAATGCTTTTGACAAGACTTCCAGCGGCAGAGAACAAGAGGAGTGACTGGTTGGCACGTGATGCCATCTGGGACCCAGCACGTGACTAGCACGGAAGCTGTCGTGTTTCTCTGGCGCCTGATCGCGGCAATCTGAATCCACTCACTATTCCGCATTGCCCTGAAGCTCGTCATCGCCACTTCAATCAACAATATCCATCATCATCCAGCCGTGCTACCTATTTAAGAAGCTGGAAGAGTTATTGAGCTCCCAGATCATTGATTTAGAAGCTCTACGAGCCTGATCCGCCAACATGGTAAGCTCCAAATGGTATCGTCTCTTTTCTACCGTTGCTGACGATTGATGGAAAAGGGTCAAGGACAATCTGGCATGGGAGGCGGCGACGGCCGTGAGGAAAAGGAGAAGAAGGTAAGCTGTATGCGCGACTTGTATATGGCTTTCTTTTTAACCCCCTTTTTTTTGTAGAAGGATAAGCCCAAGTACGAGCCTCCCCCGAGGCCTACGACTCGAGTTGGTCGCAAGAAGAGAAAGGCCGGTGGCACCAGCGCTGCTGCCAAGCTGCCGGCTGTCTACCCTACCAGCAGATGCAAGCTCCGACTACTGCGAATGCAAAGGATCCATGACCACCTCCTTTTGGAGGAGGAGTACGTCGAGAACCAGGAGCGCCTGCGAAAGGCCAAGGCTGCCAAGGAGGGCGCCGCCGTTGGACCAGACGCCGATGTGGACAGACTAGCCGACGAGCGCGGGCGAGTAGACGATATGCGCGGAAGCCCAATGGGTGTTGGAACGCTGGAAGAGCTCATTGATGATGACCATGCGATCGTTAGTAGCACTACCGGTCCTGAATATTATGTCAGCATCATGAGTTTCGTCGACAAGGATCTTCTTGAGCCCGGCGCGAGTGTTTTGCTACACCATAAGAGCGTGAGCATCGTTGGTGTTCTCACAGATGATACCGATCCTATTGTCAGCGTTATGAAGCTCGACAAGGCTCCAACGGAATCGTACGCGGACATTGGCGGTTTGGAATCGCAAATCCAGGAAGTCAGAGAATCGGTCGAGTTGCCATTGCTCCATCCCGAGCTGTACGAAGAGATGGGGATCAAGCCACCAAAGGGTGTCATTCTCTACGGTGCTCCTGGAACGGGCAAGACTCTGCTTGCCAAGGCTGTCGCCAACCAAACATCTGCCACCTTCCTCCGCATCGTTGGCAGTGAGCTGATCCAGAAGTACTTGGGTGATGGCCCTCGCCTGGTTCGACAGCTCTTCCAAGTATGTCCCCCCCCCCCCCGTTTTTTTTTTTTTTTTTATTTTTCTTCTTTTTTTTTTTTTTTTTATTTTTCTTCTTTTTTTTTTTTTTTTCTTTTTTTAAATAGGCCAGTTTCCGTTCTTTTTTTTTCTTTTTCTTTTTTTAAATAGGCCAGTTTCCGTTCTTTTTTTTTCTTTTTCTTTTTTTAAATAGGCCATGTTCCGTTCTTTCTATTTCATTCTCTTATTGCTTTGTTCTTTTCTGTTGGTTCTTGAGCTAATACAGCGACAGGTTGCGGGCGAGAACGCACCTTCAATTGTGTTCATTGACGAAATCGATGCCATTGGTACCAAGCGTTATGACTCCACCTCTGGAGGCGAACGAGAAGTGCAGCGAACCATGCTGGAGCTTCTCAACCAGCTAGATGGTTTCGATGACCGCGGCGATGTCAAGGTTATCATGGCCACCAACAAGATTGAGACGTTGGATCCTGCCCTGATCCGGCCCGGACGTATTGACCGGAAGATTTTGTTTGAGAACCCCGACCAAAACACCAAGAGAAAGATCTTCACGCTGCACACATCCAAGATGAACTTGAACAATGATGTCGATCTGGAAGAGTTTATCTCGCAGAAGGACGATCTTTCCGGAGCGGATATCAAGGCAATTTGCTCGGAAGCCGGCATGATGGCTCTACGGGAGCGACGTATGCGCGTACAAATGGCGGATTTCCGTTCTGCTAGGGAGCGTGTGCTGCGTACCAAGCAGGAGGGCGAGCCTGAGGGCCTGTATTTGTAATGTACTATTGTGTATAGGTTGGGAGTTTCCGTAGTGGAGGAAGACAATAGAGCCCGGCGGCGTGTTTTTTGGTGCTGCATTGTGCGTCAAACGATGAGTGTTGGCCTACTGATACATTGTTCTGACGGTCGGTGCCTTTTGCATTCATTGAACATTTTGATTACTGGTGACGGTTTCCCAACAAAGCGCCATTTGCTCTCGGAGAGACTCAATATGCATCGATGTCGTTTCATGTCCAACCTCGAACCAAGCAAGCCAAAGAGTATATAATACAATCAATCCCCCCCCCCTATTGCCGTGTCGTAAACAGTCAAATGTTTCGGGCGTCCCAGTCACTCACTGCTCCGCCTTGACATCCTTTACGCTTCCATCTAGCCCATCCTCGTCCTTGACGACGGCCACCTGCTTCCCGTCCGTACCAACCCGCACCTCCCCGCCGCTCGCCCTCAGCAGCGCCCGCTGATAGAGCCACCTCGCGACAAGGAAACTGCCCGCCGACCAGGCCCATACCAGCACGGCAAGGGACGACGTCACCAGCAGAGTGGGGACCAGGACGAGGAGCGCGATGCCGATCCAGAACAGCGCGAAGATGATGGCGGCGACGAGGCCGAACGCAACGGTGCAGAGGGAGAAGGTGGCGAACAGCAGGAGCGGGAAGAAGCACAACAGGGCTTGTGCGACGAGAAAAGACTGGCAGCGAGGTGGTTAGCTCCTTCGCACCTTTTTCTTTGTCACGAGTTGGTCATCGCCGGCGGGCGTTGGTACTCACGAAGAGGAGGGGTCGCGCCGAGGCAAATGCCGAGATGGTCTCGTACGCGCGCTGACGAGAGGACGGCGGAGCTGCCCAGTCCAAATAGCGCTGGAGGTGGGAAGAGGCGCCTATGGCTTGTTTTTTCACGGCGGCGGAGATGCTCCCGTTGCTAGTGGCGCTGGTGGTTTCTACTGTGGCGGGCATGATATAGAATGATATAGCAGGCCAGGTGACGATGACGTGTAAAGTCGTGATGGATTCGGTGGCAATGGGCGTTGTAGCTGCAATGGCGGGTTAATTGCTTGGGTCCGATGTGTTTGTGATGGATCCGGTGGTGGGAGGTGGAAGGGCTGCGTATGCATGGGAACAAGATGGCGACGCGATGGTGTTGATATAAGCTGGAAGGTGCTGCCCTGCCAAGTGAGCACTGAGAGCTTCGCCTCGCACACGCATTCACGGATTGTGGTTGGAGCTCATCACCCTGCAAGGGGGTGTGATGACGCGAGAGGATTGGACAGAAGCTTGGGTGGTAGAATTCCTTGGAGACTGTCTGTGGAATGGCATACTCTAGGAAGATACGGAGTAAAGTAATTTGCTATGCATGGTGAGGGTTGGGTAAGTAGGTGCTTGTCTGGATGTCAGGGGGGGGTTGGGTGCAGCACACTGAATGGTGGTGACAACTTGAGCTTCTACATGAAGCGTCATCAGAGCAAAGTTGCGGCATTGCACTCTTGCTGAACCAAAGACTACTACTTTTATTACTGGAACATCTTACCGGTAGAGAGATAGATTGATAACAGACGCAGAGCTGGACCTGTGGAACCACTGCGGCAACTGGGTCTTTGATGGAAGCTCTCCATCTGCGTCGGGGCAAAACAACCGACATTGGTTGCTGACCTCACATTCTGTCCAGCGGTTTACATCACCTAGCATATTCACCAATCCTAACAGAACCAACAATCGGGAACCGCCTTCTACTTGGACGACAGACTACCCTCAAGACTGGCCGGCAATGTCCGCAATAAGCGTCCCCCACGATCCGGCATAGCCATCGTTTCCGCCATGTCCAAACTGGTTGCCGTTGGGCAGCCTCATAGCCTCTGTGACATTCGGCCCAGTGGTAAACCCATGCAAGTTCCCATTGCTCACCGTGCTCTGAATATAGTTCATCAAGCCCTGATTCAGGCCCGTCAACGACTCAAAGTTCCAACCGCCAGCGGCGTAGTGATAGATGCCACTGTTGCTGCCGACGTAGTACTGCGCAAGGCCCATCCGGCACTCGTTGTCGCTGCCGCCGCACCATGAGAAATCGGGGTCCGAAGCAGTGACGTTGAAGGGCTGTCCCGGCAACGGGGCGACGTGGGTGCCCTGGAAGTAGTTGGTCTCGCTTTGGAAGAGCGAGATGAAGATGTTGGCGGCATTGTGCAGACTCAGCTGGTACAGCCAGTTGTGCTCCGACCCAAGACCCGCGATCCATGTCCCAGCTGTGGCTTCGATGAGGACGCCTCCCTTGACCGCGGTGTGAATGCCCTTTGCGCTGTTGTCGCTGGGGTGGTCGGCTACCCATGACCAGAAGTTGTCTATGTAGGCTGATGAACCGGCCGCGAGGTGCAGGCCGAGGTAGGCGGCGCGGCAGTTGGCTTCGCTGCTGCAGCTGAGGGTGGTGTCGCGGGTGCCGCCAATGGTGCTGAGGGAGTTGAAGACGGCCACGTCGCCGGGGCTATTGCCCGCCATGTTGATTCGCAAAAGAATGGCCCCCGGGAGAGCCTCGTTGACAGTGAAGCGAATGTCTTGAATGCGTGCCGTGCCCTTTTGGCCTGGTGAGCTGCCGACTTGTACGACTGGTGTAGGGCTCGACTCGGACGAGAAGGCGCTGCCTGATCCCGAGATGGTGGACCAGGCCTCTCCGTACAACTCAGTGCCAGGGGGGATGGTAATGGTCGAGGTAACTCTGTAGATGCCAAAGGGCAGATACGCAACCTTGCCCTGACTGGCCGCCTTGTTGAGAGCACCCTGCAGCGCCGCCGTATCATCAACTGAACCGTCTCCGTGTAGGTTGAAGCCTCCATTCTGGTTCTCGTCCTTGAGGTTCACAACATCGGAGAATGTCTTGTCGGCGTACTGTGGCGCGCTGATAACAGGATACTTGCCTCCTGGAGCAAGAGCCGCCGGTCTAGAGACTGGTTTTGAGGTGGGATCAGATTGGTAGATTGGTTTGGCGCCTCGAGTGTTTCCGTAAATATACGTCCCCAAGCTCGACACGCCGCCGACCTTGACGCTGCCGCCCACAGTGACCATGTTGGAGTTGGTGGTGTCTTTGGAGACGTTCTCGAGCATGAAGTTGGGGAAGCCGACTCGGCTGGTGAAGAAGTCGCCCGAATTTATGCTCTGCCCGTCGATGACGGCGACCCAGGGGTTGCCCGAGTTGAGGACGATGCAGTTGCCGACGGTGTTGCAGACTGGGGCGAAGATGCTGATGGTGAAGCCGCTGTCGATCAGGATACCCGTCGTGCACTTGTTAAATGTCATACCCTTGACTTGTCCTTGTTGGTGGCCTAACAATATTGCGTTAGACGGCACAAGTTCAAGAATGTTTGGCAAGGATGCCACATTGTGCAAAACAAGTAACAATCAACCACGCTTACCGCTCCAATGCAAACCAACGTTGCCAAAGTTGAATTGCACATCAGAAACTGAGATTGTCGAACCACCACCCATCACGATGCCTATATGGGGAGAGTCTGCATTAGGAGATTGCCGCTTTGTACAATGCTGGGAAGTCTAGGGGGTTCCTTTACCAGTATGAGCACCCTGAGGCATGTTGATTTTCACATTAACCTAGACACCAAAGTTAGCCGACAAACTCGCTCACTGTTTGAGCCATCCTCAAAGTAAACATACCAGTGCGCAATTCTGAGCAATAGCCCAGCTCAAGGCTGCGAAACTGCCACTGCCCGAGTTTGCTGTAGTATCCAGAATAACGTTCTTGACTACGAGCTTGTCAGCCATTCTGTTCCCCATGTGTGAGGGCAAGAAGGTAAATCTCACTCATAACTGAGAAATGCGTCTCCCCGGCAAATCCGCCACATGGATGATTGTCGCCATCTCCCTGACCACCAACGATGAGGTAGTTGCCGTTGAAGCCAGCGGCAGCTTTAATAGTAGGTGGGTTCGAGGCGTCGCCGATAATCACGGTGTCGGTGTCTAGAAACAGCGTGGAAGAGAGCGTGTATGTTCCTGCAAAAGCTGGTCAGAACTGGCCCAGCTCCTTTTTACTTGATCAAGGCTATCACGGGGCCCTCTGGAGATTCTTTACCCGGTGCCAAGTAAACAACTCGAGGTTGTCCGGCAAGCCAGCAGTTATCTCGCTGGCCACCACTGGGTCCGTCCGAGTAGATTGCATTAATGAGGCCCTGGGAGTCGCCAGAGTTGACAGCCTTATAAACCGGGTAAGTGTAGTTGGGCTTTCCGGCCCCATTGACAAGATTCGGCACATAGCCTCTCACAGGACCCGAAGTATGGTCCAGGTCCGGCAGAAACCATGATGGACTGCCGTGTCTCGCGTCGAGTTGGGCAGACGGGAGACCTGATGACAAGGAAGGCAACAACAGGGCCGTGAGACCCAATACTGGCGAGGGCTTCATATTGCGAAATACAGCTATGGCCACGACGTGGATACACAAACACAATTGCCCATGGTGTTGTTTACCCTTTCCCAAGACCAAGGCGCGGTTTGTTGGTGCTTTTGTAACTGAATTGTTAACTGAGTTGCCTCCACAAGCCAGCCCACCCTGGCCCCTGAAAACTCAAATCAGGGTTGTTATTCGTGGCATGTTTAAAGGTTAGCGTTTTTGCCCCGTCCACTGTGCGTCTGACCATGCATAATGCCGAGGATCCGGGTCTGCGCGCAAATCTCATTTTGCTCGTGTTTGAAGGACTGACTATGCGTCACAGCACTTGTTGATTGAGATTGAGGCGTTTTGTGGGAGAAGCTGCTGGGTATGTCTGCACGAATACCCCTTACTATTTTATTTGCATCGGGCCGAGGGATGGAGACGTCACCCTTCCCCATTGAGCCATTGAGCCATTGGGACAGAGCTGCGCCCGCGAATCGTGAGGTCTGGGGGAATATCAAAAGATATTGTTAAGCATGGTCGTGTCATCCGAATCTCCTTGTCAGGCTGCACGTGTTCGTTGTTCTGATTGGCTAGAGCGCCTCGCACGCAGCTAGTGAGTAGTAGTGACGTGCAGGGTCCCACGATGTTTCGTGGTGTTGGTGACTTAAACTATTTGAGAACGTAGATCGAGGAACCTCGGCCGAGCGTGCTTGCTTACTTCTTGTGTTTTAGAAACGATACTCTGCACTTGATGCGGTCCGAAATACAATGAGGGAACGTATCGGCTTTTGCAATCCAATAGATGACTGTGGCATTTCAACTCGCGGTGACTTTCTATTGCCAATCCCTGGCCCTCTCACGAGTGTATTATTAAGCTGGTTTTTTTTATTAAGTTGTTCTCATGAGTGTATTGAATAAAGTCAGCACTTATCATGCGGTAAGCAGATGAGCTGACGGCAGTCAATAGAGCCAAGGGTGAGCGAGTCTCCAGCACAAAAATGGAGACGATGAATACGGGAAAATGAACAAGCAACGGTGGTTTGCACTTTGCCAAGCGCAAAAACATGTCAATACCACTTTACTTACAAGGAGAAAGCACATTCAGAATGACGGTCCGAGCCGTCGCCGAGCTGGAGGTTTCACCTCAGCGATCGCCACATTCTTTATGCTGGTTTCGATCGGGAATGTTTCCGGTATTCAGATTAGATATGATTCCTGCTCTACGTATGCTCGAGGCTTGAGTGTTCGTGCTCGGAGCTAGGAAGTCAGTCAACTCCAAATGCATAGCCGCGAAAGACTCGGTTCGTCTCTTACCTCCAGGCTTCGCTCACAACGGTGATTACAGCCTCCTTTGCAGCACAGCGTTGCGGGAGCATGTGTTTTAGGCCGTTTTGTCTCTCATGAGATAATGAGTGTAAGAGTCGAGGCTCAAAAAGCCAAAATAGACTTCCATGGACATTGGACATTGAAAGAAGGCAAGATACTCGGTACAGTGCTGGTGCTCTGGTTCTGGAGATGCTTCTCCACCCGCCGTATGGCAGGCGACAAGTTGGTTGGCTGGCTGGTTCACTCTTGCCTGCTCGCACTCGGATGCGTTCGTTCGTCTTCGGCCTTTGCGTCGTGGCTCGCGGCCACCATCTCGTCCACGCGTCACTCGCCTGCATCCACCGGAGGCGACAGCCATCTCGAAGGTCAGAAGTGCAATAGTCAATAAGCTCAGCCACAAGATCCACGAACGCACCCAGGCACTTGACCCTCCGTGGTGCACGGAGATGATGCCTTGGCGGCATGGAAGTTGACAGGGGTCGTTGTCGTTATGTCTGGCATGGCATGCTCATTGCGACGACATCGCGGCTTGGGGCCGAGTGAGCGAGGAAGCCAGACCATGGCAGTCGACACAGAAATATAAGATGTTTGTGCAGCCTTCGATTGGAAAAAGAATTCCAAGGAGATCAGAGTAATCACGACAAGAAATAAGCTCAAAGCTCGACTTACCACCACCTGCATCACTGCCAATCAACAAAACAACACTGTACACATCACACGCATCTTGGCACCTTTGACACACGGCTAACTACAATTACAATGACTGCCTACAGCATCCATAATTACAATGGCGATAACGCCGCCTACAACGACCGCACCAGTCAACAACAACAACAACAACAAGAGCAGCGGCAGCCTCCTGCCTACACCACTCCTCACATTGATCTCACACCCAGCTCGACCTTTGACGCCAACATGAATGCTCCCAACTACAACGCTTCCGTCGGAGCTGCTCCTCAAAAGCCCAGCTCCTTTGGGCAAAAGTTTCACTCCATTACCACCAAGGCCGGCTGGCCGTTGAACAAGGCTGCTAATGTCGTTGGCGCTGAGGGCTGGTGGCCTACCAGCGTGCAGAAGGAATGCGGCAAGGCTGCTCATATTCTTCACTCTTTTACCAGTATGTCGTCTACTTTTGTTGCAAACTCTACAATGGGCACCCTTCTAATTCCCCCAATCTACAGGCCTCGGCGCTTCTCCGGCCCCCAAGACAGACGGGCCTATGCACCCGACCGGCATCACTAAGAAGTCCTTGGTCAAGATTCCCGACGCTGTCTTGAGAACCTGTGCCGGTCTTGCTATCTTTAACGTGATTCGTGCCGGTGCTTTCCATGGCTCTCTCGCTGCTGGCTCCGGTGTTGTCGTCGCTCGCCGCCCGGACGGCACCTGGTCGCCCCCCTCATCCTTTGTCGTTTCCACCGTCGGTGCCGGCTTCATGCTCGGCCTCGACATTTACGACTGCGTTTGCGTACTTAACACCCCGGTCCAGGTCAATGCCTTTACCAACCCGCGCGTATCTCTCGGCGGTGATGCCTCCGTCGCCATGGGCCCTATCGGCGCCGGTGCCAGCGTCGACGCCGCCCTCTCTAAGACGGTCCGCCCCATGTGGAGCTACATGAAGAGCCGTGGTCTCTGGGCCGGCGTCCAGATCGACGGCACCATCATTGTCAGCCGCGCCGACGCCAACTCCGTCTTCTACAATGAGCGCGGCATCTCGGCCAAGAAGATCCTTTGTGGCGACGTTGCGTGGCCCATGGGCGCAAAGCCCCTCTTTGAAGTTCTCGGGGCAATCGAGGGCCGCTCCGACTTTGACCACACCGTTGTACAGGAAGTGGGCCGCATGCCTTCTCCTGGCGACACTGTTCTGGACGAGAAGAGCGAGCCCGCTGCTGTCGAGTATGAGCACCATCAACAGCAGCCAAAACCCGCTCATGACGAGTCTGTCCTGGATGAGAAGGAGAGACTTGGGAGAGCTGGCTACTAAGATGTGGTGAAGAAATGCGCCTTTGTTTTGCATAATATGGGGGTAACGAGGGCTTGTTTTCCCGCTTGGTCTAATTGTTAGATATGGTTTCTTGTGTTGATAGTGAGATGTTACATATCGATGACTGTACGATTAAATTTGGGAGCCTTGGATTTTATCTGACAATTTTCTTGATTAGTCAAATGTCACCTGAACTGTTCAATGTTTGTCTCGTCGAGTACCTGTGAATGGCAGCGATCCAACTTGCGTACCTCTAGTTCGGCTGACCTACCCCAATTACATGACCAAGTTGGGGGGGCGTTGAGCCACGCTCGCAATACTGAATCCAGCCTCGTTGCCAAACAACTATTTCCGTGCTCCCCGGTAGATCATTGTGACAGTCTCCCACTGTCCGCGAATTCAATATCGCCTGTCCTTCGGCAACAAATGTCTCGATATGACAGACCCAATGGTTATCACAGATGAGAGCACCAGGATCACATTGACACTCATACGAAACGACCCAGCCACTATGCTCTGCAATTCCAACCGCGTCACCCGTTCTTCCTTCCTCATGACGGTCTCACACAGTCGTGCCAGAATTTCTGCTCTCCCAGAGCCCCTCGCGTCGCGGCCATTCTTGCAAAAGACGAATGAACCAGCGCCGGGTAACGCCATCCCGACACTTGACTCCCGCGATGAAGAACAAGCCACTACTGATAGGAAAAGGGAAGAAATTAGAGCGTGCTTTTGCTGTCGGACGACGGACATCGGATACAAGCTGCTTGTAAGGTTGCTCTCCCAGATCCGCCAGTTTCTTGAAAGTGGTTGCGGGCGTCGTACGCAATCTGGGATCCCAAAAGGCCGAGATTCACGCATAGCTCAACGACCATGGAAATCAGGCCTAGTACTTGTATGCCCTCTGAGCTGGCTTGAGTCTGGGCTAGTGTCAGGCTCCTACGCAAGTTGCTATATTTGGACTGCCAAACACGAAGCTCGACGATGCAGGCGGCAGCTTTGCTCACACAAGGCCCTTGTATAGTATGGGGTTGCTCCAGGTATACCCGATTGCGTCCAAGTAGCCCCCTAGGCCAGGTCGGTATGGGTTTTCCTCTCGAGGCTGGTACTCGAAAAAGGTTATCAGCGTAAGCAGAGACTGTGCGTTCACTGCACCACTGTTGCTAGGGACGGAGGCGGAGGATCCGCCTACACGCTCCCAGAATTTCCAACTATTAAAAAGCTTCGAGTTATTTTGTGCATGATTCAGTGCTTGGTCAGCATCGCCTAGGATGCAGCATATCCTGATGAACAGAACAATGGCGAGAAGAAGCGTCTCTTGGTCCCTGTACGTTAGACCAGAGGTCAAGCCTCGGTGTGTAATTGGAACAAGACATTGGATTGATTTTTCGTAGTGACCAAGTGCAAATGTGTAGCGATTCTGGGCCTGGTCGGTGTGCCTACAAGAATCTGTATTTGTGTTTGAGGATATAATTTGCTTCCTGGCCGTCATGGCTGCCAGGGCAAGGCACGCGTGCAAAAGTGCTGGACTTGATTGAGTGGCTCGCCAAACATCTAGTGTCCAGAAGGCGACATCAAAAGCAGACGCTACCTGATGGACTGCGTGATTGCAGAGAAATTCAAACATCCAGAGCTCCTGTTGACTGCATTAAATCCCAGGAGGTGCATGTGTCTGGGCCGGCTGGCAGAGTGATACATGAATCTCTAGAATATGCATAGCCGCCGCATTTTCGCCCCAACGATGTATAGTTCTTACAGGTTGGCTTGAATTCATCGCACTTGACACGGCGCGTGCTGCAAAGACGTCGACATACGCGGTCAGTATCAAGTTCCGCACCGGAAGCACATGGTCGTTGGCCGCATCATGGAGAACAACCCGACAAGTAATGCATCCAGTCTTTACTTTTTGGCCCATCTTCTTTTCCTTGTCTTCTTTGGCCAACAGGGTTGAGGATAGTCGGTCTGCGTGGGACTGGTTGTCTCCGGTTGAGCTGTCGCAAGGGATATATAATAATAAGGGGGTACAACACATAAAATACTGCTGTAGACGACATGTTCTCGACCACTGGGCGACTGCTTTAAACATCTGATGCCAGTCACTAAGAGTCTTAATTTCGAAGGTAGTGGTGGCCGGCTAGCGCATTACCCAGGGTTCAGCTCATACTTTTCTTTCTCGAATAAAAAAGAAGATGATGCTGTCATCAGCATTCCATCCGAGTTTCGAGGCCATCGAGGCTGGAGGTGAAAGCGTCAGCGTGCGGTTGAACATCGGCCACCATTTTCAGTTCTGCCCCAAGGACCCAAGGTGCCAGGCGCATTTAGCAAGATTTAAACCACCATCTTTGCACGGAGGTGGTGTTATTTGGGCGTGGATCATTTTACTTTGGGGGCGGCCACACAGAGGGATGGGTCGACAAGGAGAAGGCGGGCACTATTGAGGGTGATGTTGAAGGCTTGAGGAATATTATGCAAAGGATAAGGTAATCAGAGGGGGACTAGACGACGCAAACCCAACAGGCACAAGTCGTGGTGGTGGGCACCTTCCCACTGGGCGAAAGACGTCCCGTGCCTGTTCCTGCTTTGTCAAGCGCTGAATCTCTTCAGGTCCATAGCCGGGCACACCATGTTTAGTATTCACCGACTACACGGAGTCGAGCCACTTGAATGAAAGTCGAGACACGGACACGACTCAGTACCAAGTCAAGCCTAGCTTCACCCCAGCCGGCTTTTAAGCTGCCTGGCAATCCAGAACCAGCGGCAATTGCCTAGCTGACGCGATCCATCCTGGCGCTTCGGGCGCCCCTGGCCAGCATTCAGACGAATCGAAATGGTGTCTAAAAATAGTCTCCCTTATGACGGTACGGAGCACAGCTGCCCAATTCATCCATCGGAATTGCAAAATATCAAATGGGAAGAGCGACCTGTACAGGCATCTGCGCGCTGGTGGGAGGTATCCGAGAGCTACTCCGTATTCACATCTCAATGCTCCGTATTCAACATCGAGACTACTGGCCTTTGTCGAGGCGCCAATGATGACGATGCAAGTCAAGCCAGGAAGAGCCCCATGGGCTTCACTATAGGCAGGGCTGAAGCCATGGCGGTCCGCCCGCAATGGATAAGGCGAGCTCAGAGAAGGAATGCTCCCTGGATTGTGCGACCTGCAACCTGCATCTCAGCCTCAGCTACGGACGCTTGCCACGCTATGCTGTCAAGCTGTTATGGTGGCGGCGCCTCGACCTGCCGAAAGGTCGAATGAGGTCGATGAGCGACGAGGATGATCGAGGCTGGATGTGTGCCGATTTCCCGGTGTCATTGTCAATCAACGCGCAAGCCGAAATTGCGAGTTCAGCTGCTCTAGCAACTGATTACCTATGGAGGAGGGCTAGGTTGTGGAAAATCAACTAGAAGTTTGCTTCTCTTTTTATTCACCCCGACCCCAAGACGGGCTTGTCTCCTTGGCCCTCTCCCCATCATCGTCTTGATCACCAAAATGGCATACGAAATGACCAGCCCGCAGGGCCAAACAATCGTGCAGCAGCAATATGTCCCGGCGAGGCGAGGCATGTCACGCTGGTGGCCAGTCTCCTTCTTCATCGCTGCCATCGTCTTCTTCATCATTGGGGGAGGTCTGATGGGCGCATGGGCTGCCAGCTTCGACGGCTACGGCTATTACACCGATAGCAACTGGTATGGCGCCATCGCCTGCTTCGTCATTGCCAGCCTTCTCAAATTGACCGCCTGGATTCTTCTCATCATTTGGTGTGTAAAGGGGAGGAACCGGGCTCAGCCATCGACGACCGTCACCTACGTCAACCCGCCGCCTGTGAACAGCGGTTATGCCGCGCCGCCGCAGAATTACTTCCAGCAGCCGTACAATGTGGATCCGACAAAGTCCCAGGCTCCTGCTCCGGTCTATCAGAATGTCGAGCCTGCCCCGATGCAACACGGGGAGACGGCGCGGTATTGCGGCAACTGCGGCAATGCTACTACAGCACCATTTTGTGCTCAGTGCGGGGGAAAGGTTTTCTGAGTCGCCGTGCAACGTCTGCTGCTTGGAAGTGCTGAGAAGATGATGTAAAGGAGAGTTTTGAGGACCGTGTTGCATAATGATGATGCTTCTGTTTGAGTGACTGGTTGGCATCGGGGGCTCGACAAGTTGTTGCCGTGTTTTTAGAACCAGGGAATATGGCGGGGGTTGTGTATGTCCATCCGTCTGTCGATACGATTGGATGAGCTAGTCTGGAGCCAAATACATGAAGCCAGTTGTGTTGCATACCGTTTCTGGTAGCCGCTGTGTAACAATGTCACGAGTCGGTCCCAAAGCGAGGTACCTCGAAAGTTACAATACAGCTGATTTCCGTGTTGTACCATTGGTCAGACAGTCAAGTCACATCAAAATTCGTCTGAACCTGAAAGATGACTCGAAAGAGACCGAAAGTCAAATCCGGACCCGAGCAAAGCGGAGGCCGGCATATATCATTGCCCGTGCATCTGCGCCGCGTGATGATCATGGTAAACATGGCCATTTCCGAAAGACTAAGCGAAAGCGAGTATGCGACAATCACATCGAGGCCGTAATCGTATGTGAATTGAATGTTTCTGCTCATCACTCCAAACCTCTGTGCCTCGTGGTTGGTGATGCGAGTTTAGCCCGTTTCTCTTTGTAATACAAAAGAGAGATAGAAATCTGCACTATCGGAGGCTCCTTCCAGTTTGGTAGTGCAGCTGGCACAAGCCACGACATTGCTCCCCAGCTAGAGATTGGGACACAAGCCATTTCGAGCATGGCAATTCCCAACAAGTTGTTCTTGAGCCGACACCACCTCGATGGATATAAATAATGGCTTCACTGCACCAGCCACGCCGAACCATCCGAACCGAGCCATTGTTCCCTTGACGTGTTTCAAAAATAGCTTTCAAGCGCCCTGCTCACGTCCCTCAAAAGACAATAGTCCCTCTCAGCATGTTGATGATCATATTCGCCGCCTCTCCTTTAACCAGAC